TTTCTGGAAATGTTCATGGATAGGATGCATAGAATGTTATGATCAATGCACTATATTTTGTGTATCTCAAAAGTAGTGATAAACCTTGGAAGATTTAGAAATCCAGTCAGTACCATAGGGTTTTGATTGCATTTCATGCAATCTTTACCCAAAAAGTAACTGAATTACGGAAACGTATCGGATGTTGGTCCTATTGTTAAAAACTTTACATATGACATCATTTTCAATGTAAAAAAATAAACCTCATCTTCAGGTAGCATTTTTTTCTCTCGTTTTAGAGTATAGTTTGATTAAAAACATAATAATTTATATCTAAAATCCAATGAGTATAAAAAGTCAGCTTATTACTGATCTTAATACATATACAAAAATCTGCCTGACTGATCTGACGTGTGAGGTGAGTTTCCCCAGAGAACTCATTTTGTTTGCTATAAAATCGTATGTTGAATAAACTCTAGACTTACTTTATTACGTACACAAAGGTAATAAATTCAAAATGTTCGTCCTCATTATTCTTTTTGGTAATCAGTTATACAAATATGCGGGATATAGTTAGACTTACAACATGGCAGCTTCCGTCAACAGAACAGGATAATGCGCAAGCTCAACTCTTACAAAAAAGTAAGATACAAAGTTAACAATTTTGAGTTCATTAGTAAATTGATTTTTATATTGATTTTTCGTTTTATTGATTTTCTTACTATTATTGGGTACTTTGTCCCCATACAAATTCTAGAAGACCAGTAACCCAATAATTCTCAAGTCATGAAAAAAATATGCGACACTTTAGTACTTTGTTTTCTTGTACACATTTCAATTGATTCTCATAATAGGATTTTAAGTGTCAATAAATTTACTTCAAAACAACAATAAGTGTATAAGGTTTTTTATATGACCGCAAAAAAATTTTGTGGTCGTATATTGGTATGACGTTGGCATCATCGTCCGGCGTCGTCGTCCGAAGACACATTGGTTTTCGCACTCTAACTTTAGTTTAAGTGAATGGATCTCTATGAAATTTTACCATAAGGTTCAATACCACAAAAGGAAGGTTGGGATTGATTTTGGGGGTTATGGTACCAACAGTTAAGGAATTAGGGGCCAAAAAGGGGCCAAAAATAAGCATTTTTGTAACTTCCAGACATAACTTGTGTGTTAGTGTATGGATCTCTCTGACATTGTACCACAAGGTTCCATATCACAAAGGGAATGCTTGGATTGATTTTGGGGGTAATTGCCTCAAAATTTTTGGAATTAGTGGCTAAAAAAGGGGCAAAAAACAAGCATTTTTCTAGTTTCATGACAATAACTTGTGTGTAAGTGTATGGATCTTTCTGAAATTGTACTACAAGGTTCCATATCACAAAGGGAAAGCTGGTATTGAGTTTGGGGGTAATTGCCCAAAACGTTTAGGAATAAGGGGCCAAAAAGGGGCCAAAAATAAGCATTTTTCTAGTTTCCAGACAATAACTTGTGTTCAAATCTATGGATCTCTCTGAAATTGTACTGCAAGTTTCCATATCACAAAGGGAATGTTTGGATTGATTTTGGGGGTAATTGCCTAAAAATTTTAGGAATTAGGGGCCAAAAAAGGGGCAAAAAACAAGCATTTTTCTAGTTTCATGACAATAACTTGTGTGTAAGTCTATGGATCTTTCTGAAATTGTACTACTAGGTTCCATATCACAAAGGGAAAGCTGGAATTGAGTTTGGGGGTAATTGCCCAAAACGTTTAAGAATAAGGGGCCAAAAGGGGGCCAAAAATAAGCATTTTTCTAGATTCCAGACAATAACTTGTGTTCAAGTGTATGGATCTCTCTAAAATTATACTGCAAGGTACCATACCACAAAGGGAAGGCTGGGTATGATTTTGGGGGTAATTACCTCAAAATTTTAGAAATTAGGGGCCAAAAACAAGCATTTTTCTAGTTTCAGGACAATAACTTGTGTGTAAGTGTATAGATCTTTATGAAATTGTACTACAAGGTTCCATATCACAAAGGGAAAGCTGGGTTTGAGTTTGGGGGTAATTGCCCTAATTGTTTAGGAATATGGGGCCAAAAAACAAGCATTTTTCTAGTTTCCAGACAATAACTTGTGTTCAAGTGTATGGATCTCTATGAAATTGTACTGCAAGGTACCATACCACAAAGGGAAGGCTGGAATTGAGTTTGGGGTGATGAATCATAAGGGGGTTCAAAAAATTGGGGGGGGGGGGGGATTTTTTTTTCCTTTTTTATTTTAAAATTTTCCATTTTAAATTGGTTATTTCTGATTTATATATAAAAGCAAATAATAATGATATGGTTTGAATAGGTAAATTAAAAAATTTTAAGTTCTTAGACCACATTCATTCTGTGTCAGAAACCTATGCTGTGTCAAATATTTAATCACAATCCAAATTCAGTGCTGTATCAAGCTTGAATGTTGTGTCCATACTTGCCCCAACTGTTCAGGGTTCGACCTCTGCGGTCGTATCAAGCTGCGCCAGCGGAGCATTTTATTATAATTTGCCTTCTGTAGGAAATAACTCTAGTATAATATAGTATTAAGCTTCATATAATGGCTTAACAGTGATGATTTGGATCCAAAATTTAAAAAAATTAAAAAATATCTTCTTCATTTAGAAAATAAGTGGGGTGGGTGGTCATGGATTATTAATTGGGCTTTTATCTGCACTGGCAAGTTATCTTGCTGCAATGAAAAATAACAGCAGATAAATTTTTCATTCTGTTGGCTGCATGACAAGATTCATCACATCTCAAATCTCAATCAAAACAGACAACTTAAGCACAGTTGATATTGAATTCCTTGAGAGATGTTTAATGTGAATTTCAAAAAGTGATAATAATTGTATGAATTTCAAAACTGACTGAAAATGTAAGCAAACATAAAATATGAACATACACATGACTGTGTTGACCTCTAGATGTCTTTTGTTTGGGTTTGTTTTGTGCTGTTGGGTTGCTGTCTCATTAACGTATTTAAGTCACAAACCATTTATCTTGAAGAAACTGAATATCATTAGGACATTATTTTACCAAGTTCTAGCGGCAATTGGCCTTTTAAAGGATTTTTCAAAGTTTTTAAATAAAATTTTTTGCTAAAATTTTTAGTTTTAGAACATTTTATTGTAGTATATTACCTATGTTGGACAACATTTCAGACCATTGAACATATTTCTAAAAGGGATATGAATTCTTAATCCAAGACTACCGTAGTAATAATAAGTGCATTAGATAAGTTTTACAAAATTTTTATTAAATTTTCTTTACCTTCATTCATTTCAAAGTAGATCATTTAAAAATCTAAAAACCAGTGTCATATGGAATTTCTACCCCTCATAGAAAATTGACCCCAGGGTGAATTTTCTGCTGTTGGAAAATTATACCTTCTGTAATGAAAAATTTACCTCATAGAACATTGACACCTCCCCCCCCCCCCCCCCCCCACCCCTGATTGAATTCTTTCAAAAGAGGTGAACATTTGTATAGAAAGCACATTAAATCGTCCAAAAACCTTCATAAATTTGTCTTAAAATCATCAGATTTCCTATTTTCAATGCATAGATTTTTCATAAAAAAACTAAATGTAGTTGGTACATAAATTTCTGTTTTAATGATATAAAAAAATCATATGGTCACCAACTTCCTTTTTGGTGTATTAACCAATCTGTTACCTTAATGGTAGTAAAAAACAACAAAAAATAAACGTTTGAAGGCCTACAACTCGTTTATTTCAACGTTTTGTGGTATTTTTTCACCACTTTGATTGATGTATACCGTTAAAACCAAGTCGGTGACTCTATTATTATTTTACATCATCAAAACGGAATTTTTGTACCAACAACATATAGTTTTTAGTTTTTCTGGGAAGGGGTCAGTTTTGCATTTTTACCTAAATGGCTATTGCTAAGATAAAGTGTTTTCCTGACATATATTTTTCATTCCAGATATTTACTGGTGCAATATTACTTGATAAAGAAGTTTAAATTACCAAGAGAATTTAAATATCAAATACTAATATATCAAAAATTAAGGGCAGTAGTTCCTATGGGGAGTCAGCTGATAATTTGGGCAAAAATTTGAGAGAAGATAGATCTTGACATTTTAACATTTTTGTCCCATTAAATTTTCTCTTTCTATTATGGTTTTCAAGATATATGACAACTATTTAAATTTTTACCCCATGTTCTCTTTTTAGCCATTGTGGTCATGTAAGTTGATGTACAATTATAATTTTGAAAATAACATTTTAATACCGTAAGGATCATTTCTGTGAATTTGGTATAAGTGGTTATTTCATAAGAAAACATTTTGAAAAATCTTTATGACACACCCTTAGGACTGAAGATGATAGATGCCAAGTGATGTTGAAAGCTAACCGTGGCCTTTTTGACCAGATGAGCTAAAAAAACATGAAATCAAAAAGACAATTAGAGTAATTTAATTTTGTGTGCAACCATCCAAATTTAAAATAAAATTTACTGAATGAAATAATAATTCTGTGGAAATGCAACAGAAGTGAATTTAAAAGTAAAAAATTCCATTAACCTTCAGACCACCATTCCAAAAAATCTTTTACTTTTTAAAGAAAGTTGGTACTGAAATACTCAAATAACTGTGAGACATATTCAAATTTGGCTTACAACTGTAAACTATAACACATCTCATCTTATTAAAAAGAAGCATGGAGAAGATGGAATTTGATACTTAAAGGTCAAGGACATTCTCACACTTTGTTGAAGCAAAAGATGCTTCTTACAGTTCTTAGTTATAAAACTTGCTGCTTTCTTTCAAATAACCTTAAGTAAACAATATTTAATCTGCTTTTATTTCACATCCGGTATTTTGAAGTAATGACTGATGGTTAATTATTTTTTATTTGGAGGGGTCGGGGTTTTTGGTTGTAAAAAGTATTTAGCTAATGATCAAATGCAATTAAAATACAAACTACAATCATATGAGAAAATTGCAAAATAATATGAAAAAAAAACTAACTTGGACAGTATTCTGTGTTGAAAAGTTGACGTAGAGCTGTCTGAGCTGCTGCCATTTTGGCAGCCTTCTTGTTAATTCCTGTGCCTTCAAATATCACTCCTTTAACATCAACACCCATGGTGAACACTTTCCCTTTTTCTTGTGTGACCTCTGACAAAAGGTCATATTTCAAACCTTGGACCAACTCATTCAGGTACATTACAGGATGTTTATCTGTCTGCTTTGAAGCAGGTACTTCTTCCATTTTCTCATCCTCCCCCTGTCCTTCTGAAGCAGGGTCTGTCTGTTCTATTTCCTTGTTACTGGTTGTTGGTGCATCAGAAGTTTCTATGACTACACTACATGTATCTGCCTCTTTCTGGACTTTTTCCATGACATCATCTTCAGATTCTGGCTCCTTCTTGATTTCCGCATCTTCCATATTTGAAAATTCTACAATGCGGCAAATAATTATTGAAGAAATTGAAATGACTGACAGACCTTTTCTGAGTTTTAATGTTTTTAATATTGGGTTCAAAACATTTTATCATTGTTTTATACTTAATTCTTATCAATGAAACTTATAACAATGCAAATAGCTTAATTTTCTGGCAGTTAAAAATCAATGGCAGGATGGAATTTGCAACCATCACATCCCCTTTTAATACAAGCCTGCAAAAAAAAATATTCAACTAATAATTCTATACATGAATATACATTGTATGTATCTTTGTTATCAAACCATAATTTTCCTTCTAATCATTCCAATAAGAAGACAAATTGTTTCTGGTTCCTGTTCATGAAATATTGTCATAGATATCATACATGTAACAGTATTCAAAATAAAACAAAGAGAAAAAAAAATCTGTTTTTAAAGCTGAAAAAAAAATATGTATTGTATTCATATATTTATAATTAATTTCAGATATAAACAGGGACCTGAAGGATCTATCTATTACATGTAATCATTTTATGTAAGCAGGTTTCTAACTTTTAATATTTACAAACTGACTATAACATCAGTCATTACATTGGTTTAATAAGGAAAGAAACAAAAAAATACTTAGTTTCAAATAGATTGTAGTTATCTGTGCTTTGCCAATGTAACAGATCTTTTTTTGTTTGTTAAAATCTTAAATTTATACAGATCTAATAATGGTTTCAATTTATGTGGTTTTTTTTTAATTTGAGCATATATCCTAAGCCATGTATTATTTTTGAGATTTTTCAACTTAAAACATAAACAATTAGTTTACTAAATAATAACATATCATCCTTCCATTGCTCATTGTTTTCTATGCAAAACCCATGCAAAGAGGGACTGAAACAAAAGAGTAGGTTCACTAACTAGAAATATCACTTTTAGGTAAGTGACTTCATTCTCTTTCAATTAACCAAGTTGTAGTTATGGATTTAGCCAAGCACCAAGCAAGTCTTTTAAAACAAAACCTTGAAATTAGTTTACACTGTGCTAATTTTGTTGAAATTCACAGATCACTGGGATTAATCAATGTTTTTAAAGGAACAAAAACACAATTTTCAAACTATTACTAATAAAACTTATCCTCTTACATAAAATTATTTGAACTTTGTCTTTTTTACTTAAATTACAGCAAAAACAATTCCAAACAAGAGGCTCTCAAGAGCCTGAATGTCTCACCTGTATTTCAGAGGAAAAGATTTTTAAATGTTAGCAAACTTGATGAACAAATTGTGTAAAATTGTCTTTAAAGGGCAATAACTCCTTAAGGGGTCAATTGACAATTTTGGTCATATTAACTTTATTGTAGATCTTACTTTGCTGAACATTATTGCTGCTTACAGTTTATATATATCTATAATAATATTCAAAATAATAACAAAAAACTGCAAAATTTTGTTAAAACTACCAATTTGGTGGCAGCAACCCAACAATGGGTTGTTCGATTCGTCTGAAAATTTCAGAGCTGATAGATCTTGACCAATTGAACAATTTTACCCCATGTCACATTTGCTCTAAATTAGTTTTTGAGATATAAGCCAAAAACCGCATTTGACCCTTATGTTCTATTTTTAGCCATGGCGGCCATGTTTGTCGATGGATACAAACTTCGGATACAATTTATAAACAAGATACCCTAAGGAACATTTAGTTAAAGTTTGAAGGTAATTGGCCCAGTAGTTTCAGAGGAGAAGATTTTTAAATGTTAGCAAACTTGATGAACAAATTGTGTAAAATTGTCTTTAAAGGGCAATAACTCCTTAAGGGCATACGATACAGTTACAGGGGAGGTAATGACGTTGCTAACGTAAATTGTTATTTTCGCGACGTCAAACTGTGACTTATCAGGAAAAGATGCAGTTTTCGACTGATTTTTATCATTCAAACTGATTTAACTTGAACACGAGTTCATGGACACCTCTTTTTTAAAATGATATTTGGTTTGATTAGGTATGAAGATTATGTTTACCAATTTTCATGAAAAAGTCAATAGTGCAATTTTTTTAAATTTGATAAATATACAGCAAAAAATTACATTTTTTTTCTACAATCATGATCATTTGATTAATATGAGTTATTTGTAAAAATGAAATGTACAAATTTATAGAACATTTATATAAAACAGAAATTACAAATAATTTAACAAAAAACAGCTTGTGTTTATCTTTTAAAACAAAAAAGTTATGTATTTCTATCGAAAAGAAAAAAACCGTCCACAAATTCGAATTTTGAGAAAATATCTGAAATTTCAAACTCATTTTACTCAAAAAATAGCACATGAAGGTATATTTTTTATTACAAATTTGATCTAATCAGGTAAAAAATAGCCTATTTGCAAATTTTCATCAAATTTTCATTATGGGATCAAAACTGTATTGTATGCCCTTAAGGGGTCAATTGACAATTATGGCCATGACAACTTTTTTGTAGATCTTACTTTGCTGAACATTATTGCTGCTTACAGTTTATATATATCTATAATAATATTCAAAATAATAACAAAAAACTGCAAAATTTTGTTAAAACTACCAATTCGGTGGCAGCAACCCAACAATGGGTTGTTCGATTCGTCTGAAAATTTCAGAGCTGATAGATCTTGACCAATTGAACAGTTTATCCCATGTCAGATTTGCTCTAAAAGCTTTAGTTTTTGAGATATAAGCCAAAAACTGCATTTGACCCCTATGTTCTATTTTTTAGCCATGGCGGCCATGTTTGTCGATGGATCAAAACTTCGGATACAATTTATAAACTAGATACCCTAAGGAACATTTATTTAAGTTTGAAGGTATTTGGCCCAGTAGTTTCAGAGGAGAAGATTTTTTAAATAGTTTACGACGACAGATGACGGACGCCAAGTGATGGCATAAGCTCACATGGGGCCCTTTATGACATAGGTAAGACTTCTTCATCACTGCACAGATCTAAAATAATTGGTTATATATAATTAACATTAACTGGTAATATGTCAATGGCCAAAAAACAGGCAACTATTGGTACATCAACCTCCTTCCTTTTTTAAGTGATTTGAAATAGAAATTTAAGTAATATATTTCATCCTCAATCTTGGAATCACATAATTCAATTTTGTTTCTCTCTCTGTATTGCCAAAATGATGTATTAGTAATATTTTTTGGTAAATGTACCATTCCAAAAACAGAACACATTGACTAAGTGTGTAAACCTTTCACATGTGGAAACATCATTTGAAGCAAAAACATAGTGAAATACTACCAAATTCATAAGTTGTTTCCAATTTCCAGGATAAATTTTGCTAGTTAAATTTCAATTTGACAACTTTGAATAAAGAAGGGAGCTCAATACAACAATAGAAAGCCTGTAGTAACCATTACTACTAAGAGTCATATTTGTAAACAAGAACTTAAGTGAATTCAAAATATTCCACACAAAGGTAAACAATGGGTTTTATTGTACATTTAAACCAAACGTAATTAAACAAATGCTTTTTTAAGTAAAATATATATAAATTTTTTTGAAAATTTAAGGCTAAATATCAAACTGTTCAGAATGACGATGTTTTACAAGTTTATCCATAAGAGTTTCTTACAAGAAACAAATCAACTATCAGAACTATTCATCTGCTTCAAATAAAAATTTGTAAGGGTTCTGCGGAACCCAGTGTCTCGCCTACTTTTGCTGTTAGTCGCAGGCTACACAAAAATGGGGAAAAAATTATTAAAAATTTTCCTCTAGATACTATCTTTTGATTGTAAGAAGCTTCTATCCAAGTTTGGTAAAAATCCAGGATGGTTTATGAATCTAATAAATGTTTTAAAAATTTTAACTGCAGACTGTATGTAATGTTAACTGGAAGAAAAACTAAGTCCATTTATAAGTAATATAAGGAAACACAGAAAATAAATTTTTACAAAATTTCCTTCTAGATACTAGCTTTTGATCATATCATAAACAAGCTTCTGTCCAAGTTTGGTACAAATCCAGGATAGTTTAAGAAAGTTATTAAAATTTTAAAAACTTTAACCACAGAGTGAATGTAATGTTAACTGGCAGAAAAACTAAGTCCATTTATAAGTAAAATAAGGATAAGCAGGATTTTTTTTTTTACAAAATTTACTTCTGGATACTATCTTATGATCATAAACAAGCTTCTGTCCAAGTTTGGTAGAAATCCAGGATAGTTTAAGAAAGTTATTAAAATTTCAAAAACCTTAACCACAGAGTGAATATTTGTGGACGCCGCCGCCGCCGTCGATGGAATGTAGGATCGCTATGTCTCGCTTTTGCGACAAAAGTCGCAGGCTCGACAAAAATAGGAATAAAAAGAAAATAAAGAAATTTAATAAGTTTTTTTCATTTGTAAATAAAAATTTATAATGGAACAAATACTATAAAAAAACATATACTGTATTTAGTCTTTTAAAGAACTGGTCACTAAAAGATGTTTATTGAGACCTTCAGTAGCACATGTAACTGCATGTCTTACTTCAAAATCAAGTTTAAAAGACCAGTGAATAAAGGCATAGTATTCTCAATTTATTAATAATATAAGATAGCTGTCACTTTTCTATAAATTTGACAGTCTTACATTTACAATTTGAACTTTTTACCTTAAAAGTCTCTTAAGACTGCTTCAGTGAAAACATCTATCATAAACTTTACCAAAAAGGTATAAGGTAAAATTACCTTTGGTTAATTGGAGTACAACATTAACCCATTAGATACCCATATTCTCACAGAATATTTTGATTTTGTTTCACATGAATAAATGGCCCAAGTTATGTCTTCATTCAACATACAAATCTGACAATTTCATTATCAAAATCAGCCTTGATGACTCACAGAAAAATAATTTATGCTAACATAGTAAAGTTAAATGTATTTTTCACTCATATTGAAAGAACTTGTTTTACAGAATGCATTCATGATCAAACAAAGATTTAACACAAATTGAACAAAGTAATACAACAAACTTGAAAGGATTTTGTTGTTTTCACTTTTATTTGCCACTAGACATTAGGCAAACAAAAATTAAACATCCAGCTCATCAAAACTGTAATGGTCATTTAGTTCTAAACATTGATTTACTGAGCAATAAACTAGGCTTGTTTTTTAAATATTTTTTTCCACCAAAATTAATAAATTTCTGATATGGAAGTGAGATAATGTGACATCAAAATCAGACATATCATATTGCCATGACCAAGGTTATCTCCCTTTCATGCCATATTAAAATAAGAAGATGTGGTATGATTGCCAATGAGACAACTCTCCACAAGAGACCAAATGACACAGAAATGAACTATAGGTCACTGTACGCCCTTCAACAATGAGCAAAGCCCATACCACATAGTCAGCTATAAAATGCCCCGAAATGACAAATGTAAAGCAATTCAAACAAGAAAACTAACAGCCTGATTTATGTACAAAATAATAAATGAAAAACAAATATGATATACAGTAACAAATGACAACCACTGAATTACAGGCTCCTGACATGGGACAGGCACATACAGAATGTGGCGTGGTTAAACATGTTTGGCGGGTGCCCAACCCTCCCCTAACCTGAGACAGCGATGAAACTGTTGAATGATTGAACAGTTGGAGGGATTGAATGATTGAACAGTTGGTGAGATTAAATGATTGAACAGTTGGAGGAATTGAATGATAGCACAGTTGGAGAGATTGGATGATTGAACAGTTGGAGGGATTGAATGATAGCACAGTTGGAGAGATTGAATGATTAAACAGTTGGAGGAATTGAATGATAGCACAGTTGGAGAGATTGAATGATTGAACAGTTGGAGAGATTGAATGATAGCACAGTTGGAGGTATCAAATGATAGCAAAGTTGGAGAGATTGAATGATGGCACAGTTGTAGAGATTGAATGATAGCACAGTTGGAGGGATTAAATGACAGCATTTTTGGAGAGATTGAATGATTGAACAGTTGGATTGATTGAATGATGGCATGGTTGGATTTATTGAATGATATCACAGTTATAGAGATTGAATGATTGAACAGTTGGAGAGATTGAATGATTGAACAGTTGGTGAGATTGAATGATTGAACGATTGAACAGTTGGAGGGATTGAATGATATCACAGTTATAGAGATTGAATGATTGAAAATTTGGAGAGATTGAATGATTGAACAGTTGGTGAGATTGAATGATTGAACAGTTGGAGGGATTGAATGATAGCACAGTTGGAGAGATTGAATGATTGAACAGTTGGAGAGATTGAATGATTGAACAGTTGGAGAGATTGAATGATTGAACAGTTGGTAAGATTGAATGATTGAACAGTTGGAGGGATTGAATGATAGCACAGTTGGAGAGATTGAATGATAGCACAGTTGGAGAGATTGAATGATTGAACAGTTGGTGAGATTGAATGATTGAACAGTTGGAGGGATTGAATGATAGCACAGTTGGAGAGATTGAATGATTGAACAGTTGGTGAGATTGAATGATTGAACAGTTGGAGGGATTGAATGACAGCACAGTTGGAGAGATTGAATGATTGAACAGTTGGAAGGGTTGAATGATAGCACAGTTGGAGAGATTGAATGATTGAACAGTTGGAGAGATTGAATGATAGAACAGTTGGAGAGATTGAATGATTGAACAGTTGGAGGGATTGAATGATATCACAGTTATAGAGATTGAAAGATTGAACAGTTGGATAGATTGAAAGATTGAACAGTTGGTGAGATTGAATGATTGAACAGTTGGAGGGATTGAATGATAGCACAGTTGGAGAGATTGAATGATTGAACAGTTGGAGAGACTGAATGATAGCACAGTTGGAGAGATTGAATGATTGAACAGTTGGTGAGATTGAATGATTGAACAGTTGGAGGGATTGAATGATAGCACAGTTGGAGAGATTGAATGATTGAACAGTTGGTGAGATTGAATGATTGAACAGTTGGAGGGATTAAATGATAGCACAGTTGGAGAGATTGAATGATTGAACAGTTTGAGAGATTGAATGATAGCACAGTTGGAGAGATTGAATGATTGAACAGTTGGAGGGATTGATTGATTGAAAAGTTGGAGATATTGAACGATGGCCTAGTTTAATTGATTGAACAGTTGGCGAGATTGAATGATTGAACAGTTGGAGGTATTAAATGATAGCACAGTAGGAGAGAAAAGATAAAAATAAAATTCACTTCTTGCTATTCATTCTAAATTGGAACTGGGCAAAGGGGTATAATTCTAATTTACTAAGTTACTGTATTGTTTCAAATTTTGTGAAAATAAATAGAAACAATGGGTTTTTGGATTTAAACTATAGGATTATGATTGATTCTTAGGAATAACTGACTTCAATGAAAGCTTTTTTGGGAGATAATGTATTGCTTAATGAAACAATGTTTAGAACTAATCACTTTAAAACTGTCATAATGATAGAAGTACAGTGTATCTGTATCCAAGTCATACTATTTATAAACTAGAATTTGTGCAACTTCCTGATATTGGCTATCTGTTCCATCATGATGATCAGTCCAAATTGGAAAGAAAACAAACTGTCAATCATTGAAAATGAATGACTAGTCATTATATTACACTTCACTTGCACCATACCTTAAAAAAAGGTTCACTACCAATGAGCTAGAACATTTTTATTAATAAGTTGTTCAGTTTGAAAAATGAATTCAAACTGTAAATTGGTAAAACAATTTTATGAAGACAAAACCAGTTTCTAAAAATACTGAAAATGTAGAAACTTTTGCATGCATTTATTTTTGTGATTGTGGAACAATAAAAAAAAATAAAATGAATTGTTGTGATTTCAGTAAATGCTAAATAAAAAATAACACTATAGAAATTTGAAATGTGAGTTTTAATTTTTGATAAACCGATGCAATTTGGCAATAATAATAAAAAAAAAAAACATTGATATAAGTGTATCAAAATAAATGCATGTACAGTTAAAACACTCAAGATGAACTTCAACACAAAGAATAAGTCATTTTTGTAAGTGATAACACGGAGTGACGGACATAACAACTTAATTAAAGCCTCCTTGACTATTCTGTATACACATGTATGATACTAAATAGTTCTTTCAAATGTAGTCTTTGGCATCAAAGTTGTGCTTTAAAAACATAAACTACTCTTCTAAAAGTCAATTATATGACTGATTTTGATAATGTCATGTCAATTTTTTTATCACCATGGCGATAACTTCAGACCATCAACTGTGATTGGCTATTGCCACAGTGACTCACCAACAAATATACAATTTCTGGATATCTTGGCACTTTCAGAAAATACCTTATTTCTTTCATGATTTGCTACTTCAGCAAAAGAGGGTTCTGAAAGTTTCAACAAAATAAATATAGAAATATACAATCACATATAAATACATACATACAATTTTAATAATTCAGCTTTGTTGATTTTTATATCTGTGGCCAGCAACTTTTGTGGCAAAAAATGTACAATATGGCAGAAAAAGATGGAGTACTACATGTTTTTATTTTTTTTCAATTTCAAAATATGTTATCCCTATGGCACTATCCAGAGCTATTTTCAAAATGCTTGAATTGAATTCTAAAAAAGGTGATTTTTTTCCCCTTACCCACAAGTCACAGTGGTTAACAGCAATGAAGAAATATATACCGGGGTATAATATAGTAAGAAGTAAATATTTTTTTAAATTGTTCAATATATGCAAATACTTCCATGTTTTATTAACAAATAGTGGGAAGGCTGTTGGGACTAGGCAGTCATTTAAATTTATAAAAAACAACATTTTTTTTTAAATAATAGAGGGAACATCCTCTCTATTTGTGTTCATTGCAACTAAATAGGCATGTAAATAACTTGTATCAAGATACATTTTAGAGTCATATTAAGGCTTTCAAAAACTACTTTTTAAGATTAATCATGTTAATCATGTAAGCCTGAACTTATTAGGCATGTTTTGTTGCAATTTATATAATAAAAGTAGAATTATATTGTAATGAAAACACCAATATGTAAATTAATAAACCCCTTTACAAATTTAAGTAAATTTTGCCGTTGCTCAGAGGAATTTATTTAGGAATCAGTATTGATTATTAATGACAGCAGGTAAGTGGAGTTTGCCTATTATAAGCGGAACATTTAGAGGATTCAGTTTATATTGATATGCCAAACAGTATGATTGGTGCTGTTAGTAAAGCTGCATCAGCATATTATTATGAAGTTATTTTCCACGATTATATATTAAGTTTTTTCTTAATTCATACATTTACGAGATAAGGAGATATTGTGATACTGAGGTGAAGAACAGTCATTTTTCTGATTACTGTTGATTAATGTTGATGGTACCAACTTTTGTAATACATGTTTTTGGTATAATTATGCATACACAGTAATCTTGATTACTTCTTTAAGGTTCTTATAAAATCATAATCAACTTAATGCTTTATACTGTATAATCATGTGATAAATTGATATGATAAATATTTTACATTAAAAAAATAATATATTTCGATACAAAAATCTTAATCTTCATACAAATATTTAAATACTAATGGAATAAATGGTTCCCCTAACATGCCTTATGAATATTATATATTTGAATATGTGTCAACATGGTCAAAGGCACAATTTTGTATCGTCCATCTTTGCTATTATTCATAAAATTCATTAATATTTGTGAACTACAAGTCAAATACATATAGTTTTTAGGCACTGGCTACAACCATGACAACTACGTTGAAAACGTAACAATAACTTTTTTGTTATTGTTACGTTTTAAACATAGTTATACACTAATTGCCGGAATGCTAGGTTGGTTTGGGACCGATTAATAACGAACGTAACAAAAATATTTTGTGTCTACAGTCATGACAGTTACGTTGTGTTATTGATACATTAAGGCATTTCAATGCAAGCTGGGAATAGTAATATAGTATGTCCCATGTGTATGTAGTATATTAAAATACAGCTTGAAAACTTGAATTCGAAAGCAATTCAATGATACAATATTGCATGCAGATTATATATTTTATCAATAATGACAGCTTCTGCACATCCAGTATGTGTTTTGGGTGCATGTTTTAGTCCAATGCATTTTTGGTGGAACCACGCTAGGCAGCGATCACAAACAAGTGATACCGAAATGTGCCTGTCGGTTTTGTAGAACAAATACATGAAATAGTTCCACTCTTCAATTTCACTTTTTGAAGTTAATCCAACTTTTAATGCATGCCATGCTTCAGGTGAAAAGGATTTTTTGATTCTTGAAATATTTATATTTTAGTCCAAATTTTTTTATTGGAAACATGTGTATCAGATGTTGTTTTATGTTGTCTTTTAAAATCATTTTATTTCCGTCCATTATATAACTGATGTTATGTTATGGGCTCACCTGGTATTTTTCCGTGATAAAGTCAATATTAATAAACTGCTTCGCTGAGCGCAGCTGGATACGCCCGCAGAGGTCCAACCCTGAACAGTTGGGGGAAAAATGGACACAGTATTCAAGCTTGATACAGGTCTGAATTTGGATTGTATTAAATATTTGACATATTATAGGTTTCTGAATAAATGTAGTCAAAGAACTTGAAATTGGTTATATGAATTGAATTTATTTTCAATTAAAGATTTCTTGCTGTTGTGCAATACACTGTGCTGTTGCGCAATACTTAGTAAATCTGTTGAGAGACTATAATCAATTAAAGTTCAATTAATTCTCAATGTCATATTAGAAATTTATGAATGTAAAGGGAGCTTACATCAATAGATATAAACAATTCACCAAAGTTTCATGAGAATTGCTGACAGCATTTTTGAGTTATTGTCCGAAAACTGGAAAATCCCCCCTTTTTTTAATGAATAAAACCCCATTACTCAGAAATGTAAAATGTAAAATTTATAAAATTCTAAACGGAGCTTACATCAATAGATATAAACAATTCACCAAAGTTTCATAAGAACTGCTGAAAGCATTTTTGATTTTTGTCCCAAAACTGGAAAATCCCCCTTTTTTTTATGAATAAAACCCTGTAACTCGAAAATGTAAAATCTAAAATATATAAAAATCGAAAGGGAACTCATGTCAACAGATATAAACAATTCACCACAATTTCTTGCAAGTTGGTGAAAGCATTCTTGAGTTATTGTCCGAAAACTGGAAAATCCCCCTTTTTTTATTGAATAAAACCCCATAACTCGGAAACATAAAATCTAAAATTTATAAAAAACGAAAGGGAGCATGTCAATAGATATAAACAATTCACCAAAGTTTTATGTAAATTGGTTAAAGCGTTTTTGAGTTAATGTCCGACATGTTGACAACGGACAGACAGACGGACAGACGGTACAACAGACGGACAACAGTATACCATAATACGTCCCGTAAACTCGCGTATAAAAAGAAAAAGTCCTTTATTCTATATTTAATATTATTAAGCATATCAGAGAATTTAGCAACAAAACTAAACGTTGGTTAAAAGTTTAATAAATCTAACGTTACAATATAAAATAATGTAACCAGACACAAATATTATTGTTACGTTCGGTTCCTAACCCAACATAGGATTTAGGCAATTAGTGTCCAATGTAGCAATAAATTTTTTGTTATTGATACTTTTGAATAAACTGTAGCCAGTTTTTAACCCTTGTAAAATTGGGGCCGGATCTACTTGGGACGGATGGAGTTGGTGCTGGATCATGGATCAACACAAAAGTGGTTGAGCCTTGTTTCATGCAGTATCTTTCCATACTTGTTGCAGGGAGGGGGGCATTACCATGGCATGAATCAAAACTTTTGAAGTCTGAGGAAACAAGTGTAGCAGATTCATTTGGGTGACTAGGTCATATTCTGTTTTGTTTATTTCCAAAAGGATTATTTAGCATTTTAGATTGATTTGCCAATAATTTGGACAGCATGTTAATTTATTATCACATATATAGTAAAATTACGTGTTGACGCTTGAAATCTGTAAAAACTGTAAGATATAAAACCTGTGCGCTGGAACAGAAGGAAATCGATCAGAGAAAATTATATACAGATCAACGTTAATCAACAGCTTGGTCTCTTAAAAATATAAAGTCAAATCGGTAAGTTCAAAATTACGTAAAATAAAATTGACATTGAACATTTCTTCAAAGTCAACATTTTTACACTTAGAATCTTAAAATTAATTTAGACTTTTCTAAAACCCGAAATTTCGACCTTTTAAAAGTCGAAATTTCGATTTTTAAATCTTAAAATTGCGACTTTTTAAATCTCGAAATTTCAGGATACATTATCAAAAACAAAAAAGGTTCGACTTTTAATATCTCAAAATTTCGACTTAAAACTCAAAAGTGAATAATTCGACCATGTGAATCCGTATTCATGTGAACTTCAATTTAACCCCTTAGCTGGAGATGTGTTACGCATGCACTAAGCGTGTTCAGATATTAAAAGGAAAAGAATGTCAACATTGAAAGTGAAACACGGGTGAACCATCTCGTTGACTGATTCGTTCCACAAAAACTCATCTTATATACAGGAAAAAACGACGATTAACATATCTTTTAAACCTATAACACGAAATCAAACAGACCATGAAAAATCCAATTGCACTTGGTCGCTATCTATTTATATTTATATTTATATTTATCGGGTGATATGACAATCGGCAGTCTTCGGTGGTCATCGTTGGTAAATTAGATGGCGTCTAGACAAACATACACATGAAATGCTGATATATATTATCGAGTCCATGCATTGTTTATTGTTTATTTTAGACTTTTTGTAATTTGAATATATGTTTTAGTATGTTATAAATCTGATATGAGAATTCGAGTAAAATCGGTGAACATGAATTTGACAGCTAATGTCCCTTTAGAAATGATAGTAAATCAGATCTGGGATCAATAAATTTTATGAATGAACTTTTTATGTTGTAATGTTATACCACTGTTTCGTGTTATGGTGAAGGTTGGCGCCTGTTAAAACGTTTAAACCCACTGCATTTTTATGCACATGTCCTAAATCAGGAGCCTGTTTTTCAGTGGTTGTCGACAACAATATAACAATGGCTTTTTGTTATTAATTTGATAATAAATCAGCATTATTTAGAGTCGGCATGGTCTTGTAATAATATACTAGTCAGTATGTCCCAGGCATGGTTACCAAAACAAGCTACTGAGGACATAACATAAGCTTTATTGAGCTTATAAGCGACATGCAAGACAGAACAATACAATACAAACAAGCATGTAGTAAGTAACATAAAACACGATAATTAAAGTACTGTACTTTAGCATGATAATAGTAAGCAGATTTAAATAGCATGATAAGCTATAGGTATTAAAGCAAAAAGCAAATACTGAAAAACGTACACTAAATATGAATAAGAAGATATGGTATAAGTGCCAATGAGACAACTCTCCATCCAAGTCCCAATGTATAAAAAGTAAACAATTATAGGTCAAAGTACAGCCTTCAACACGGGCCCTTGGCTCACACAGAACAGCAAGCTATAAAGGGCCCCAAAATGACTAGTGTAAAACAATTCAAACAGGAAAACCAACTGTTTAATCTATATAAAAAACGAGAAACGAGAAACACTTATGAACCACATTCACAAACGACAACTACTGATCAACAGGCTCCTGACTTAGGGCAGGTGCATAAAAATGCAGCGGGTTTAAACGTTTTAACAGGCGCCAACCTTCACCCTAACCTGAGACAGTAGTGTAACATACAAGTTACAACATAAAAAGACACACTATAAAATATCAATTGAAATGGCTTAAATCGATCAGACAGACATTTAAACAAAATCAAGTAAACATACACTAAACGAATAAGTTTGATCTATGACACAACATAAATACAATATTAATTAAAAAAAAAGATGTAGGAACAGTTTCAAAAAGACAACTGTAACCTTGGACAAAATGGCGTTAAATAAAATAACGTACACAGGTAAATTTAAATATAATGATTTTGTTGTTAGGAGTACGGAAGTAAACATTTAATACAAAATAAATAAATTTGTTGTTCACAGTACGAGTACAGAAGTGAAAATTTATCGTCATACTAATTATATATATAATACTTATCAAAGGTGGTACATATTAAAAATAGTGAGACGAGATATAACACAAATAAATGTGGATAGTGTCCATATGTGGACACATGTGCAGATGATGCCCCCGCTTGCATATCATATAGTTATAAAGGGACATAACTGAAGAATGGTAAAAAGTGACCGTCTACCCAAATTTGAACTTGATCTGAGTTTTGTGGTAATAAGCATTGTGTGTAAGGCTCATAACATTTGGTTGAGGCTAACTTAAGTAGAGAACAGAAACTAAAAATTCAGCAATTTTTCTATTTGTAAACACGCATAACTCTAGAACGGTTGTGTATAAGTTTTATAACATTTGGTTGAGGCTAACTTAAGTCGAGAACAGAAACTAAAAATTCAGCAATTTTTTCTATTTGTAAACACGCATAACTCTAGAACGGTTGTGTATAAGTTTTATAACATATGGTTGAGACAAACTAAAGTTAGAGAACAGAAACGAAAAATTCAGCAATTTTTATGTTTATAAAGGGACATAACTCAAGAATGGTAAAAGTGCTGCCTCCAAATTTCGTACTTAATCTGTATTATGTAGTAATTAGCATTGTGTATAAGTTTCATAACATTTGGTTGAGGCAAACTAAAGTTAGAAAACGGAAACAAAAAATTTGTACTTGATCTTAAGTTTCATAATGTTTGGTTGGGGCAAACTTAAGTTACAGAATGGAAACTAAAAATTTTGCAATCTTTCGATTTATAAATGGGCATAACTCAATAATGGTTAAAGTGACACTACCCAAATTCAACTTGATCTGTGTTTTATCAGTGGAAGTCAAAATTAAACTTTGCATTGTATAAAGCATTGATTGTAGTTGATTCAACTATAATCATGGACAAAGGAAGATAACTCCAATTAAAAAAATTACTTGATATTTAGAAGAAAATAAAAATTTTGCAATTTTTCCATTTATAAAGGAGCATAACTCTAGAACGGTTAAATTGACGCCACCAAAATTCAATCTTGATCTGTGTATTGTGGTTATAAGCATTGTGTATAAGTTTCATAACATTTGGTTGAGGCAAACTTAAGTTAGAGAACGGAAACTAAAAAATTTGCAATTTTTCCATTTATAAAGGAGCATACCTTTAGAACGGTTATAACGACGCCACCTAAATTCAAAATTGATCTGTGTTTTTTGGTAATAAGCATTGTGTATAAGTTTCATAACATTTGGTTGAGGCAAACTTAAGTTAAAGAACGGAAACTAAAAAATTTGCAATTTTTCCATTTATAAAGGGGCATAACTCTAGAACGTTTAAAGTGACGCCACCAAAATTCAAACTTGATCTGTGTATTGTGGTAATAAGCATTGTGTATAAGTTTCATAACATTTGGTTGAGGCAAACTCAAGTTAGAGAACGGAAACCAATTTTGGGACGTACGGACGATCGTACGTACGTACGCACGTACGTACAGACGGACAAGGGTAAAACTTAATGCCCCCACCGCTACGGCGGGGGCATAAAAAGTAAATATTGAATTACAGAAAAGCATTACAATTTGTGTCAACAGTCAGTAATTAAGCATGATTAGAAAGTTGGTAAAATGCATAGCAATTATGATTATAGATAGGATATGATCTAAATAATAGATAAAAATTTAACAATATATATTTATCATCTAAACAATCAAAATTATATTTACAATCTTTCAGTATACCTAAGGGAACGACCATTTAACTTCAAAAGGGGGGGGGGGGTATTTTTTTTCCCTAAAAAAATATTCTGATCCCCAATTTGATGAAAAAAATTATTGTGGTCAAGCAGATGACAAAAAAAAAAATCGGAATCCAGATTTTCCCAATACCTTATAGATCTAGTGTTTTTTTGTAGAAAAAAAAAATTATTGATTGCTTCGAAAACTAAAAAAAAAATTCGAGCATGGCGCGAAAAAAAATTTCTGACTCAGACAAAAAAACATTACCCCCTTAAATGGTTGCTCCCTAAGTTATGAAAAAACGATGGAGACATTGAATTTTAAAACATTTAATATACATGTTACGCCAGAGATATATGTCTCTGGTTACGCATACGTATAATTTGTGGTGTCATTTTTTATCATTTAAATGACGGCATATGTAGTAGTGCTATTTATAGATATAAGAAGATGTGGTATGAGTGCCAATGTGACAACTCTCCATCCAATTAAAAATTTATAAAAGTAAACCATTATGTCTGAATTAAAAGTGCAATAAACACTTTTAAAATGTACAAGTATGTTGTAGCACATGTTTAAAAGACGTCCTCGTGGGTTCATAGTTACACCATCATAGTTAAACGTTTATTTGATGTCGGTTTTCTTACTGACTGGTTGCTTCTTAAGGCATTTTCATGGGAAACCAGGTAAAGTGGTGCTTGCTTTGATACCGGCTTTTGAAAAAAAAAACTGTAATAATAGCCATAATTTAGCCAGGTGAGACAGTGTCTGCTTGATTGCTCTCTATGCAAACAAATACACAATCCTTACGGTGACACCCCTAAAATTGCCCCCAAAACCGGTTCATAGTCATAAGATTGAGAATGGAAATGAGGAATGTGTCAAATAGACAACAACCCGACAAAAGAGCAGAACACGGCCGAAGGCCACCAATGGGTCTTCAACACAGCGAGAAAATCCCGCACCCAGAGGCGGGCTTTAGCTGGCCCCTAAACAAATATGTGTACTAGTTCAATGAAAATGGATCAGTCTTGAGAATTATAGTTATCTAGTACCATTGTAAACTCGTATCAATGTCAACTCGTACCACTAAAAAAAACTTGTACCAATGCAAACTCTTACCACTGCTAACTCGTACCACAGTAAATTCATACCATTGTAAACTCGTACCAACTTATTTAAATGCATTCAAATGGTGTTTAATGATGAATATATACTTTAATTTCACTCAAATTATACCTCTTAAGTCTGTAAAATGTATATAATTTGAAATTACAATGACCAATTTGTAGCTAATTTTCCTTGTCTAATTGGATAGAGAAAACTGTGGCAAATTGGCTTTGTTGTCTCCCTTGAATAGACTCTTTTTAAAACTTTTACTGACAACTATTTGATTTGATTTTTAATCATTCCAAATCAGTAACATTGAATAGATTTGGGTATTTTTCTATTGTTTCTAAAAGGAATTTTATTTAATGAAAGAATTTATTTATTGTGTTTTAAAGGTTTAAAATTGTTTATGACCAACAGTTAGAAAGTATGAAATTTATTTTTATACAATATTCAGCACTTTGTAGCAGAAGATGACCATGCTTTTATTAAATATAAATGATAGGTCATTTTCATTCTTCTCATTTATATATATTACCTGTAGTGGAAGGTATGCATTGCTCTTTCTAGAAAAGTAACTGATATATGAAATGGTACCTGAGATCACCCTCGGTTTTACTTTAAAGTGGGGTTTGTGTTGCTTAGTCTTTCGTTTTCTATGTTGTGTCTTGTGTACTATTATTTGTCTGTTTGTCTTTTTTATGAGTTTGACTGTCCCTCTGATCGTCAACTTTATTTGATGTACAGTATAAACATTTTCTAACACATTTTGGGATTTGAACGAAAAACAGACTAAAAGACTGTATTGTACTAGATAAATAACTCTCAGAGCTAACCAATTTTAACTGCTTAGTTTCGATAATATATACAGAGTTGTCTCACTGGCAACTATACCACCTCTTCTTTTTTATGTACATGTAATGTTAAATACAATAATGGGGACAGTTCTTAAGATACAATAAAGAAAATAGCTTATGTTTAATGTGGCTATTCTATATAACAAAGTGCCACTTTTACAATTCTGCATGTTAAATTTTTTGGATATACGTTTCAGTCAGTATATAATAAATCTTTTTAGAATTTTAATTTACTCTTCTGTGGGTTTTTAAGTAATAAATGATGAAAATAACTTACCTATATTTCCGCACTTTCTGTGTTGCCATTTAGAACATACATCACACTCTATTGCTTCTTGTTGAGGTCTAACCAGAGAGTGGCACCATATACAATTGTCGTCTTCCATTGTGGTTATGAGGAACCTCACAAACATGCCCCATTTTATGAGGAAAGTGGGCTTTGAGACAACTCATGTCAGCTTGTGTTTTGATAATCAGAAATTTCATTTAATAATAAACATTATACATTTAATTCCAAGCTGTTAAATTATATAACAACAATCAAAATTTAATAGTATATATAATAAAAGTTTTCATTAAAATCTGGTATAAAATTCAAAGATATTTTAATTTTTTGTATAAAGCTTAAAAAAAATAATCATAAAACATTCGTATTTTTGTCTAAGTTTTCATTAAAATCTAGTATAAAATTCAAGTAATTCAACTACTTTTATTAAGTTTACCAAAAAAAATCATAAAACATTCATATTTTTGAATATATTTTTAATGGTACAAGTTTGCAGTGGTACGAGTTCTGATTGGTACGACTTCCCAGTGGTACGAGTTTACGTTGGTACGAGTTAACTTTTTTGGTACAATTTTACGTGGTACGAGTTTACAATGGTACGAGTTAACTTGCTTCCAGTCTGGATATGTTTATATGTGTACCCAGTTCTGCCCCAAAAATGGCAAAATACAAACTTTCTCATGTTGATGTTTTTTACAATATGTTGTAGTGGTTACATGATAGCACCCTATGAACAGTTTTGATTTCTTTCTTATTTTTTTGTTTTTAATGATAAAGGGACTTTCTCAGTCAAGGGTATCCTCGTATTTTGGGTTTTTAGCGTGCTATTAAGAATGCATTGTGACGTCACAATTTCCATTTGAAAAAGCATGCATAGTAATAATTCACATGTCGTACGAAAACATATGATCTGACCATATAACTTAAACAAATTATATCAAAGTACTGAAGTACTGAACATCGGATGACCGCAAGTTCTTGTGGATGGTCACAAGCACTTGTCTCAGAAAAAAAAATCACATCTCTATACCTGAAAGTGAGGTTAAGGTACATAGATATATTATTTTTTCTAAGACAAGTTCGTGCCTGGATGATGAATAAATGACGAAATTCAACCTCACCGTAATAACTATTATATTGTAGTGATACAAATCAGTATACTCTGGTTTGTTGTTATATATTATATTAATATTTGTACATAACAGTTACATGTATATATAATTTTCATCCATTTCTATATCATTCTATTCTACTATTCTGATAACAGTGCAGTGCAAGTGCATGGTGGACACTCTTCTGTAATAATTCGATTTTTCTAATAGATTTGATTTGAATAGGCATTCATATTTTCCTGCAAAACATACCTGAGATATTCTTCCCCATGCGTTAACACAAATTTTCGGTATTCTTGATTTGTTATTGATATATATATATTTCTCACGACAAAAAATTTCATATCATTTATCTATATTCTTAAAAATTATATTCATGAATATTTATTGATGAAATTGATATATAACAAGCGATAAGGAATGTTATTTTGCGTTCCGTTATTAGTCAAAAACGAAAGTCACGTGGGTAGAAATGTCTGTGACAACAAGACACCGGAATGCCCTCGTGGTCATCCGATGTAAAAATCTACTGCCATTGAGAAAAAAACTGAAAACATGTTTGCAAGCAAGATGTGTCAAGCCAAAAATAACAACATGCTTTTACAGAAGCATGTTGTTATTTTTGGTTTGACCCAACTTGTTTGTAAACATCTGTGCAGTGACTTATCCTAAATGCGCAGTAGATTTTATAACTGAAATTGAACGATTTATAACCATTTACTTGTAAGGTATCATTAACAAATTGCTAAAATAATCCAAAATATGTGAAAATATTAAATCAATTCCACATAAATTTTTTTTATTCAAGATGAAGTTATCAAAATACAACAAACTGGTAATCACTGTGACTACATTGTTTCACCGAAAATGGCGCAAATAATAACGTAAACATGTTGAAATCACACGAGATCTTAACAACAAAACAAACAGCGGTAAATTTAAAAGTATCTGACTGATTTGCTTTTCACCCGACGAAAATGTCTGTGATAACTGAAAGGCGTTATTACAGACATTGTTTCTTTGTACAATAACAGACGTGGTATTTCAACACAATTCATGACAGGAGGAGATAACTCTGTCAGAATTCCCACAATAACAGTATGCCTGTTATTTTTATACCCTGCCGTAGCGGAGGGGGCATTAAGTTTTACCCTTGTCTGTTTGTACGTACGTACGTCTCAAAATTGGTTTCCGTTCTCTAACTTTAGTTTGCCTCAACCAAATGTTATGAAACTTATACACAATGCTTATTACCACAAAACGTAGATCAAGTTTGAATTTTGATGGCGTCACTTTAACCGTTCTAGAGTTATGCCCCATTACAAATGGAATAAATTGCTTCGCTGAGCGCAGCTGGATACGACCGCAGATGTCCAACCCTGAAAAGTTGGGGCCAAAATGGACACAATATTCACGCTTGATACAGGTCTGAATTTGGATTGTAACTAAATTTTGTGCAATACACTATGCTGTTGAGTGTTGAATATTAACCCCCCCCAAAAAAAATATTTGAAGAAATTTTCTTTTAATTTCTGAAATCTGAAATGAGAAAAATCGTCCCCCCCCTCCAATTTTTTTCACCTCCCCCCTTTCCTTTATTCCCCAAAAAAAATCTTTCCCTCAAGATATGGTCAGTATCTCAATTTAAATTTCTAATGGAGTTTGCAACCATAATTACCCATTTAAATACATCATAAAAGTTTTAAAATATAAAATGACATACATAGTCATGGCTAAAACTAATATTAATGAATAGTAACTGCTAAAAATAAATTGACAGCTAATCACCTCAAGACAATCATCATTTCTTAATACATAATTTACAAGCAGTGTAAGGGAGGTAATCAAACAGTATTCTTTTAATTGATTTGGATTACCTCCCTTACACTGCTTTTAAATTGTCTCAATTGTCCTTTAACCAGAAAAACCCTTGTTTTTCCCCTTTTTTTGCCCCTAATTACTAATCGGTTTGAGCCATAACCCCCCAAAGTCAATCCTAACCATCCCTTTGTAGTATGGAAACTTGTGGTATAATTTCAGAGAGATTCATACACTTTAACACAAGTTATTGTCTGGAAACTACAAAAATGCTTATTTTGGGCCCCTTTTTGGCCCCTTATTCCTAAACAATTGGGACCATAACCCCCAAAATCAATCCCAACCTTCCTTTAGTGGTTATAAACCTTGTGTTAAAATTTTATTGATTTCTATTTACTTATACTAAAGTAATTATTCGGAAACCATCTGTCTTTGGACGACGCTGACGACAACGATGCCGGACAACGATGACAACGTGATACCAATATACTACCAAAAAATTTTTAATTTTTGCGGTCGTATAAAAATTGCTGAATTTATCGTTTCCGTTCTCTTACTTTAGTTTGCCTCAAC